GTTTCTGGCTCCTCTATTCTTCCCACCTTAAACTTTTAAGAACTAGGCCATAATTTAAGGGGTGATATCCTTTAACAGAACGGCAACTGTGTTTTCTAAATACCCAGTCTGCAAACCAGCAAAATAACGTCAAATGCAGAGTCAGGCCTATATGGTACCAGGTGCATCAAACTATTTGTATTTTCAGAGAAAACTCTGACGAGGCACGAGAAGTGTGCCAACTGACCAAAAGAATGCCAACCCATGAGCAGCGAGTCAATGTCCCATTTTTATCCTATTACTTGTACAGACCAATTCGACAAGGAGATCCTCGTGAAAGGAACCTTGAGAGTTGGATGAATTCTTGTTCAAATTGGTCACTGGCAAGAAGCAGTCTATATACAGGACACAGTGAAATATACCAAAATGATCAATGTAATTTTTTTTTGGTAATTAAAAAAAAAACCCTGATCATACAAGCAAATACATTTTGCTTATTTCAAAACCACAGCCTAGGTTGACATAGGAAACTTGTATGCAACCAGAAATTAACACTTTAAAAAAAACCAACCACCCCAAACACTTCCTTAAAATCAGTCACTCCCGTCTCACACCCCAACCTCCACATCTATCAGACAGACTGCTCATTTCTCCTGGCTGATGAAAACAATTATTGACTAGCTAGTTTACCAAAGGACTGAACCCATGTATGTACTGTATGGTAATAGCTTATTAACCTTGATGTCTTCTCATGCAATAGTTTTTAAGTCAACGACATGGTGTTAATAAAGCAACAGACTGTTTTCATACATGCTACTATCTTCCTATAATTTACTGTATTTGAAAACCCTCTGGAGTCAGGTATGAGCTTTGCTGGCCATACAGGTTCTCTCACAGCTATTCAGCCCTGCCTCTCATACCACAGAAGCAGCCTAAGAGAATAAGCACAGTTAGGCTTTAATAAAACTTTATTTTAAAACGAAAAGAAAATTAAAGTTGCAGAAAAAGCCTGAAGTTCTAACAAAATCATGAAGTATAATGGTAGTTAAAACCCTGATACCCTTCAAAACATAAAAATATCCTTTTAATCTATAGGAAATGCAGTCCTTTTGCTATACTTCCAAATCAGCTTATGTTCTTTAATGCATGCGTTCCTGCATTTATATTTGCTGGTGGCTTAATGGTAAGGAAGTGTGCCACGAAAACAGAGGCACTTGGTTCAAATCCACCAGCTGCTCCACAAGACAAAGATGGGCACAGTCTAACCTACTAGGGCAGCTATGAGTTGGTTCCAACTTGATTGTACATTAATAACCACCTCAAATACCTGTTCATAAAAGGGGGTGCTCTCGTGGCATAGTCTGTAGTGAACTGTACTGCTAACCCAGAGTCTCCAGCAATCTGAATCGACCAGGAGAAAGATGAGCAGTCTCCTATTGAAAATTCCAGCCTTGGAAAGCCAATGGAGGACCACTATGAGTCCGTATCAACTCAGTGACATTGAGTTTGAGTTCTACTTCCTACAGAGCTCTACTGGTGCTGGGCTATTAACCAAAAGACTGCAGCAGGAAGCCACCCGCTGCTCCACAGAGGAAAGGTGAAGCAGTCGGCACCCATAAAGGTGAACAGCCTCTGAAAGCCCATGAGGTAATTATTTTGAATAGGATAGGGTTACTACGAGTCAGAATCAACTTAATGGCAGTGGAGTTGGTTTTGGGGGGACTCTGTTGATGGCCCTGCGCTAAATATTGGTCACACGTTGATCAGGCAACCAGATGCTCTGTCCTGCCAAAGCTCATGCCCAACAGAGAAGGCACACATTCATTATCCAACAAATTGTTATAAGCCTGTGGTAGGCAAACCCAGTGGAGAAACAAAAGTTCTTAAGAGTACGTAACAACAGAAATCATTCACTGCTTTCTTGTGTGCTCAACTGTCTTACAGTTTCTTACTACAGAAACCTAATTACCACACTACATGTGCACCCCTTTCAGCAGTTAATCTGTCTCACTGCCAGGTTTCCAACTGTAACTCTCAAGATACAACTCCAAGGAAGATAAAGAAATTGAACTAGTCCAAAAGTCATGTTTCCACCAGTTGCATTTATAGTATCTGCTGTGCTCTTCTCTTGTTGCTCCAGTACACATGGCCACACCACAGAATAAAAACTTCTTTTGAGTGTTTCAAGTTCTTGCCCTCTTAAAGGATAGTCTTTTAACTGCTTTTTTAATTTAAAAAGCATCTACAGAACATTTCTATCTGAAGGCCACATGAGGAAACCCAATGACAGGAAAGATCTCTGGGTATAATGTGCAGTCCAGCAAAACTGACCACAGTTTTCCTTTGAGCAACCATGGATTACTATTTTTAATATCAAATTCACAGCCCTGAGTAAAGAAGCCTCTGCTAGGAAAAAAAAAGTTTAGGTGATCAACTTGTGCACTTCTTTTTTTTTTTAAACAAGTCTCATTATAACATACTATTAACAAAAAAAACAAACAAAAAAAAAAGAAAATCTGTATCTTAGTGAACATTGGACACTTGATAAATTGACCTTTGTTTTCCAGGATGATAGGAAATCTGTTGTCAGACACAGGAACTGAGTCAGATACTGGAAGAGTGGAAAACGATTGGAAAGAAAAACATGCTAACATGATAATTAGGACATCTACCTAATGGGAAAATATAAACCTAATGAAAATTGCTTTTAAGAAAAAGTGAAGTCTATTATTACAAAAATTGCCGCAAATAAAACCATATATCTATCAGGACTTACACAGAAAGTCAGACCTCTAGTAAAGGTGGGGGGGACCACTTTGCATGCCAGTATTTACAGCTATGGAGTTCTGCACTTCATTTCAAAAGCAATGGGAAGAGAGTAAAAGGTTTTAGCAAAAGAGTGATATGACCTAATGTGTCTATGTATATATAAAGTGTGTGTGTGTACACGGTCACTATGAAACATAAGGGAGCTGTAGTGGCTTACTGCAGAAGGATAGGCAATCTCTTCTTGTGCTCTTTTATCTGCCTCCGAAAACCTGCTAGTGGGTCAGCTATGGGTCAGTTCCGACTTGATGACATATGACAGCAATGGCTTACTGGTAAGGAGTTGCACTGCCAACCTAAAGCCACATTATTTGAATCCATCAGCTGTTCTGGTGGAAAGCTGGGCAATCTCCTCCACTCCCAGGCTGTTTCCTGCCTCTGAAAACCTGCTGGAGGGCCAGTTCTGAGTTGCTTCAGCCTCAAGGGTACATAACAACAACAATAAAACATCAAGAACTGGGAAGGTAGAATGGAAGTAGGTAAGCTAGGAAATGAACTACCACAAGTCAAAGTACAAAACAAGAAACAAGCAATGGCATATGTCTTCATATCCACAAGGGCAAATGACTGAATATTTCAGAAGGGAAAAGACAAATTCCCCCAGGCATAAGAGTTCCAAATAGTTATGTAGATAAAACACAACTCTCCATTCCTTCTGTGCATTCCATTCAAACAATAAAGTACAGAAAGGGGAGGAGCACCTTTAAGATGGAGAAACCACCACAAATACTACCTCCACTAGCTGATCAATGTCAGCATCAATCATAATGATAACATGTGCCCTTCATGCAAATGGCATTTACCTCTGTGGTCTTCTTCCCAAAACCCACAGACCTTGTCTATTCATAAGGAGGAAAAAGCTCCAAAAGAACCCCAAGCCAGACTAGTTACAGTTGAGGGGAATTCTACAGATTTTTGACATTCTATGAAATACCTGGTCAATATTCCTCCAAACTGGAAGTCTCAGAAAATGTCATAGTAAGAGATGCTTAAAGAGCTATGCAAACTAAATGTAATGTGGTAACTCAGTACAGTGACAGTTAAAATAAACCAAACACTAGGTTAAAGAAAAGTAAGTAAATACGACTAAAATAAGGATTGCCTGACATAAAATATGTGAAAAAGGCACAATTAATATTTGTTAATAATAAGCACCACATTAAAACTTGCAATACCCAAAACTGGGTGTGTGGTAAATGCCAACGTCTGTACTAACTGCAAAATAAAACGACTCTTCCGGTTTAGGCTAAAAATGATGGAATTTACGGAACCCGATGATTCACTAGCTGGGTGCAGGGACGGAATGGGGGAGGATACAGCGTGAAAGCAGACAGGTGGACTTGGATGAAAGGTTAAAAGCCCAAGTTTCAGTCTTGGGCAACTGGATGGTGGAGTCATTCACCGATAACAGAACAGTGCCGGGGAACTAAATGTGGAGGGAAGCTAACACATCAGCTCTGGAGGCCCACCAAGTATCAGGTGCTTTACATATTATTATCTCAACCCCTTGTAATAATTTTTCACGGTGGAGATTATTTTTCTATTTATAAGGGGGGGGGAGGTACTGAATGGGATGAAAAGGACTTGTTGTCTACAGCCAAATAGATTGGATTTTGGCATCGGGTTTATATGTACTGCAAAGCCCGCGCTCTTTCCACGCACAGTCCCTTCCCGTGCATGCTTATTCCGCCGCGCAGGCAAGCGCCACCAGCAGAGGAAGCATCTTTACTAGAAGCGTGTGAGCATCAGCAGTACGGTCCCAGGCACTCCCCTCCCCGCGCCTCCTCCGTCAGGAGATCCTTTCCATCACTGAAGTTGTATGCAAGAAAGGCGCCAGAAACTTCATTTCGATGAAGGCAATTAAAACACAGCCGAAAGGGACTGCATCATCCTTCAGGGGCTTTTAAAAGGGAAAGGAGAAAGGAGAATTCTCTATCTAGTTTGGTTATCGGCGAAGAGGAAAAGGAAAGGAAATCCCCGGGAAAGGGTCTTAAGTCGGGATGGTTTGCCTCTGTTACTCTCTTCCACATTCCCACCCCAGACCCTTGGACTCCGCAGGATTCCCAAAAAAACGACCGCCAGCCCGCCCGAAACCACGCGGCACAAGGTGACATGGACCACGCCGGTCCCTCAGTCGCCTGGGAAAGGCCGGGACAAATCGGGAGAGAGAGGGGTATCCGCGGGGCCCGCGCTACCTTGTACTTATCAAAGCCAGCCAACTGCTCCGGGCTCACATATTCGTAGCCAGCCATGATGACGACCTTAAAAACCGAGCGCGTACTCTGCAGCGACTACCGGCGAGAACGGAGAGTTACAGGGACTCCCCACCGACTGAGCGAACCCGAAACGGGCTGGGCAGATGAAGAAGAGCCGCGCTCCGCCCACCGCGCACGCGTAGGCGCCCCAGCCACTTCCGCCGCCGCCCAGTGCGCAAGCGCAGGCGCCACATCTCACTGCCCACCGAGGGGGGATTGCTAGCCTGCCTTCGGGGCAGGCCTCATTAGGCTGTAGCAGTCCAATTGGCGTAGATCAGGCAATACTAAGCCCCGCCTTCCAGGTCTCCTCCTCGCTTCATTTGCCCGCGTCAAAATTGGTGAGCTGAAGTAAGGGGAGAGGAGAGGTGAAAGGTCAACTTCCCAACGGGCTTTGCTTCTCATCCCTTGAGCAGGTGGGCGTGTGTGTTGTAGATACATGGGCATGAAGGAGTGTGTGAGTACTCTCTGTCCTGGAGGTATAGGATGATTGCTTGTAAACCAGTTCAGCAGTACTTTGAAGAGGACTTAGTTCCTTCATTGCAATGAAATAAAAGTGAAATAAGGATTTTTGCTCCACTTCGTGGCGGGGTGCGCCGCGAGCAGTGGAGGTTAATGAATGTGGTTTACAATAAGAAAGGCTGAGGAGCGGGCCAGAGGCATAGGTGGAAAGCTGTGTAGGAGGGTTTGTACTGTCAGTAAAGAGGTTTCAAAAGCCAGAGAGCACACACTCTAATAAAATCATTACTGCCTCCCGCCCAGAGGAGAACAGTAATCTCTCAGTCTCAGAAATCTTCTGCAGTGTTTGTTTCCAAGGCTGCAGTCTACAGATTGCAACAACTTGACTGAAGATAGGCTTATGAGTTGCTAATCTTTCTTTTAGCAACTCGGTAATTAATTACTGGGCCACCAATGTCAATTTCCAAGAAATGCTTTTATGTAAAGGAAACAAAGTTATTTAAAGCTTGATCAGTATCTATCCTATACGAATCTAATGAACATTGCTACATTGTGCGCCTTCTATGCGGAGAACTCGAGGCACAAAATCGCCATAACTCTAGGAGATGGAAAGCTGCTTTCCACTTTGCAGATCAAACAACCAGAATTCAGATTGTATTATTTGTTGTGTGTCACAATTTGGAAATGATAAACCCAAAATGAAATGAAGGCGGAATATCCAAAACCATTACCTCAAATAGCTTGAGTCTCTCTGGGTCATTAAACAAGGGTGCTTATTTTGAAATCCGTTTAATGGTTCTTACATCCATTCATTCAACACTTACTGAAGACTTAATATGTGCAAGCGCTTTATTTCTTCATGATTTATTTACTGTTCCAGATTACAAAATGCTTAATAGGTAGTAGATAAGGAATGCAGCTTGCTGAAAGCCAGGAGGATTTAAAATGCTTATTGCAGAAGATCAAAGAATACAGTCTTCAAGATGGATTACATCTCAATATAAAAAAAAAATATTCACCACTAGGCTAATAGGTAACATGATAGATGAAGAAAAAAATTGAAGTTGTTATGATTTCACCTTACTTGGATCCACAATCAACACCCTTAATAACAATAGCCAAGAAATCCAAAAAACATGGAAAAATTGTTGTCAGATATCTCTTCAGAGTGCTAGACAGCAATGATGTCAGTTTAAAAATTAAGGTAAACCTGATTCAAGCCAGGTCTTTTCATTTACTTGCTATACATCTGAAAGTTGGACAATGAATAAGGATGACAGAAGAAGAATCAATGTCTTTGAGCTGTGATGTTGGAGAAGAATACTGAATACCCCTTTGACTGCCAAAAAGAGCAAATATGTCTTGGAGAAGATGCAGCTAGAAGATGCTCCTTAGAGGCAAGAATGGTGAAGCTTCATCTCACGCCTCTTAGACGTGTTATTAAAAAGGTCAGTCTTTGAAAAGGGACTTCATGCTTGCAAAGGTGAAGGGTCACTTAGAAGAAGACCTTCAACAAGATAGATTGACACAGTGACTGCAGCAATGAGTTTAAGTATGTAAGAGATAAGGATGGCTCAGGATAGGGCAAGGTTCAGATTCCTTGTAGGGTCACTATCTAAACAATAGTGTAGTGGTTAAAACTTGTATACCAATCAAAAAAGTCTGTGATTAGAACCCATAGCAACTCAGAAGGAGGAAGATGTGGCAACCTGCTTCATTGAAAAATCCTGCTGAGCAGTTCTACTCTTTTGTATATGGAACTGGCTTGATGGCAGTGAACATGTTAATAGGCATGAAGTTCTTATTGTGTGTTCTTCGCTCTCACTTGCCCCCAAGGCCAGGATTTATGTCTTAGATATCTGATATTCCCCATGTCCCATAGCCTAATGATTTGCAAATAATAAACTAGAAGATACTGTGCTGAGTAAAAGAAGTCACAAAGGGTTAGGTAATATATAAGATCACTACTTTAAAAAAACTAAAAAGAAAGATTTCCCCATAAACTGCAAACACCTCCTTGGCTATATAACTTTATGTAAGTGTTCTAAACTCTATGTACTGATAAAACTGAATTACTACACCTTTACACCAAGTATAGATCTTTGGACAATTTATTAAACTAAGCCTGTACTAGGGAGCTCTGGTGGCACGAGGCTGTACTGCAAACCCATATACATGCAGTTTGAATTCACCAGCTATTCTATAGGAGAAGCTGGGCAATGTGATTTACTGCCTCTGAATACCTGTTGGAGGATCAGCTAAGAGTGTTCTCACTCAATGACACGCAACAAAAACAAGCCTATACAAAAGTAATGCTCTGTTTACAGTAAGCAGGTTTCCTCTTCTTTACATCTTTTTTTATCAATATAAGAAAAAGATTCTTGCTGTCAAATTATTTTTTAATATGAATAAAACCATTTTATTTTATACTGATGTGTTTACAAAGTTCATATACATTGAGTTCCACACTATCCTTCATTTACATTGTTTCACACCACCATTCCAATTTGTTATATTTTATAAAATTAATCAACATTATCAAATGATTTTTAATAGGTCTGTCTTTACCTGTGCAAACCTTATACATATTTTTTTACAATAAACTTTTTATTTGTAAGGGGAAATATTAAAATAATAATAGAATGTATAGTATAATTCATATATAAGCCAATATATTTATTATGACTATTGATATACAGGCAATCACGTTGTATGCAAAAGCCATGCTTTGTGCAGGAAGCTGTTTTCTTCACTATATCCTGTTTCATCTGCTATGCATGATTTTCTGATCATGATTTCATAACTCTATATATAAACTATTTTGACCAAAGTAAAAGTATTGAATATCCAGTGTTCTCTTGTTCTATTCAGACAACAGCTTCTTATTCTGTGTATAAGATTCACATAAACATAATTAAGTATTTTGGGATTTCCATTTTTCCCAACGTTAGCCATAATGTATTATGATCCACGTGGTCAAATGCCTTTGCAGAGTCTAAAATACACACTCCAAGCCCTGAATTAGTGAGACACTGAATTGAAACAGCAAGAGAGCAACAGAACACAGAGCTGCAAACAGAACAGTACAGCCATCTTGAAAAGCAACCCAAATGCCATAAGAACCCTGGAAGACAGAAGTATCCACATAGCTAAAGGGGTTCAATCTCCCCCTTGTCCCTTGTGTCACCATCTTACTACTCACCAGGTAGAGCGTACTGTTTTCCCAAACTACCCCCTATCCCTGTCAAGAACCAGCTCTACCTGAGTCCAAGTCCATGTCTAGAGGGGGGAGCTCTCAGAGGGTTCCTCTAAGAGCCTGTGGACAATGCCAGTCCTGGTCTGAAGTCAGTCCCCACATTGTTGTTGTTGTTATGTGCCATCGAGTCGCTTGGACTCATAGCAACCCTATGTACAACAGCCCTAAACTCTGCTTTGTCCTGTGCCAATCCCACTACCTTTGACACACCCATCCCAATTACCCCAGTCGCTGAATCAATCCACCTCATAAAGGGTCTTCCCCTCCTACACCGTCCCTCTACCCTCCCAAGCATGATGTCCCTCTCCAAGGACCTGTCCCTCCTTGTAACATGTCCAAAGTATGTCAGGCGAAACCCCAGCCTCCAAGGAGCAGCCTGGTTTAACCCTCTCCAGGATGAATCTGGTTGTTTTCTTGGCAGTCCATGGTATATTCAATACTCTTCTCCAGCACCACAGCTCAAAGGCATCAATTCTCCTTCTGTCCTCCCTAGTCATTGTCCAACTTTCCAATGCATAACAAGTGATTGCAAAGACCATGGCCTGTATCAGACGCACCTTAGTCTCCAGAGTGATACCATTGCTCTTCAGTACTTTGGAGAGGTCCCTAACAGCAGACTTTCCCATCGCAATATGTTATTTAATTTCCTGGCTGCTGGTGCCAAGAGTGTTGAGTGTGGAGCCAAGCAGACTAAAGTTGTTACCAATCTCAATCTCTTCACCGTCCATCCTGATGCTGCCAATTGGACCAGTGGTGAGAATCTTTGTCTTCTTGACATTGAGCCTCAATCCATAATGAAGGCTGCAGTCCTTGACTCTCTGCAGCAAGCGCATCAGGTCCTCCTCAGTTTCAGCAAGCAGGGTTATGTCATCTGCATAACACAGATTGTTAATGGATCTTTCACCAGTCCTGACGCCACACTTCTCCTCATAGAGCCCAGCCTCTCAGATAATCTGTTCTACATACAGATTGAAAAGGTAGGGAGACAGAACACATTCCTGGCGTACACATTTCCCAATTTTGAACCATGCAGTGTTTCGCTGCTTTGTTCTAATGACTGCCTCTTGGTCCAAGTATAAGTTTCGCATTACAATGATCAAGTGTTCTGGGATTCACATTCTTCTCAGAGTCAGCCACAGTTTGTTATGATCCACACAGCTAAATGCCTTTGCATAATCAATGAAGCACAGATAGACATTCTTCTGGTATTCCCTGCTTTCAGCTATGATCCATCTAACATTAGCTACATTATCCCTAGTACCACAACCCCTTCTAAACCCAGCCTGGACTTCTGGCAGTTCTCTGCTGATGTGCTGTTGCAGTTGTTTTTGGATAATCTTCAGTAGACTCTTGCTTGCATGTGAAATCAA